CTTAAATTGTTTTAAAACAACAACAACAACAAAATAATGGCATTAGCGGTGCGGAATCCCCGTGAAATCGCCAACACAGCCCCACGTCCCCCTCTCAAATCTGAGCCTTCAAAACTGTTTTATCATTTGCTGGGAAATTACATTGTACCAGCACGAGGAGAGGAAAAGACTTTTCTGAATGTATTTCCTTTAATAAGCAATTAAGACCTTGTACTGCTAATTAAACTATTAATTAGACGTCTTATCGTTGCTAAACACGTTAGCGTGTTGCCAAAGCAGCAATAAGCCTCTGGGGCAGGCAGGAGATAAGGAAAGAAGATGCAAACATGAAGATTAAAAAAATATTAAGAAAAAAAATCAAAAGAACCAGAAATAGCAAATAAATAACTAAGAGTCAGAAGGGTGATGTATTCTTAATTTATAGGAACAAAAAATAAGTAACTTGAGAACCAATTACCAGTGTAGGAGCCCTTGGGACACCTGTGTCTTACACAGGACAAAAATGGACAGGACTTTTCAGACCTTTGTTTTTCTGCAGTCAGAGCAGTGGAACCAGAAATGGAACCCATCTTCCCCAACATCAGAAGTTGCCATTAGAAAATTAACAGAAAAACCATTCAGAAATTGTGGGGTTTTCCTTCTCCAGGAGAAAAACACAAAGAATTTTCAATAGGAAGACCTTAACTCCAAGGAATTTCTGCATCTGGCTCCACAGTGACCCACAAACAGCACCCCTGGCTCACCCTGTCTTTGTCACTTTTAAGTTAAAAGGGAAATGTCCAGGATCCCAGCACTGGGGATGCTCTTTGCACGCTGTGAAGGTGTTTCCCCCTGCCCCTGGGGCTCCTTTAGGAATGAGGAGGGGTCAGGGATGGCTCTGCCCCCCAAGGTCCTGCTCCCACTCTGGGGGCTCAGTCCTGGCTCCCCCTGGGTTTTGAACACATTGAAATGTTTTCAGACCCCAATTCCTCAGCGTTTGCCTCCGACAGTCGATCTCAAGGGATGGATAATCTCATTTACGTCTGTTACTACAAATCAAAACAGCAGCAAATTAAATGGATCTGAAGGCCGAGATTAAAGGCTGCAAACACATGGGAAGTGCCTGTGATGCAAAGAGCTGTAAATATAATTTGTTTTTTTTTTAAAGGGAGGGATGGAAAATCCCTACACAGATGCTGTTCTTTTACCTGGAAAGCAATGACAGGTTCATGAGGAATTAAGGTGGAAAAGACCTCTAAGATCAAGTCCAACCTCTAAGATCAAGAGCAACCACTAATCCAGCACTGCCAGGCCCACCACCATGGTTGGAAAAGAAGGGAAAAAATCAAAATGAGCTTGATCATCACTCTTTTCCAGCTGTGGGAAATGCCTTTGTGGCCAGCTGAGGTTCAGGCTGGCTCAAAGCTGGGGCTCAGAGGGACTGAGCCCAGCACTGCTGGTTCCTGGCTGGGATTTCAGGGATTCTGAGGCTTCTCCAGCTTCTTTTCCTGAGGTGGGACACAGGATGTCACCAGAGCCCTCCTGTGCCCCTAAATCCCCTGGGTCAGACCAGAAATCCTGCGGGGATGGAGCAGCAAAACTGAGAGAGCTCCCACATTAAAAAAGGAATGCAGGATCTGACACTGAGCAAGCAGATGGGAGAGAAATTGATGTGAAATCCACGTTATAAATGCCACTGTGGATGTTCCCCTTTTGCGGAATTTGAGCCCCAAATCCCACTCTCGCCCTGATTTTTTAATATTCTCTAATCCTTCTGATGTTTACATTCTTGTAACAAACTTTCTCACACACTTTCTGTAAATAACTCCTTGTTTTGTATTCTTTTATGGAGGAGGAGAAATTTGATGGTTCGTCCAGCGTCATTGGAGAGGTGGCACTGCCACCCTCCAATCCAGGGTCACTTTTGGAAATCTATAAATGTTGGAGTCAGAAATGAAATCTAAATCTATAAATGTTGGAAATCTATAAGTGTTAGAGTCACAAATTAAATCTAAATATATAAATGTTGGAAATCTATAAATGTTAGAGTCACAAATTAAATCTAAATCTATAAACTAAGTTTATAAATGTTGGAGTCAGAAATGAAAAGTCCCCTTTTTTGCCTTGAGAACAGCAGTGTGTGCACGTTGTGTGTTTTGTGCCCTGTAGTGACATCCTGCTGTTCACATCATTCCTTTGTAATTCCGCAGTTTCTCTGACCCCGGGGCTGGATTGCGGCACCGCGGGCTCTGTGCTGGGGCAGGACTGGATTTTGGGAGCAGCAAAACAGGGAGAGCTCCCACAATAAATAAGAAATGCGGGATCTGCCGGGGCAGCATTCCCCGAGCTCCAGATGCCCTCTAGAGTGATTTGTGGAAACAAACAAACTCCACAACTTCGGTGAAAGCTGTAAAATGTGGGAATCTTCCCCTAAAATGACACACGTGCCTCTGGGAACTCCAGATCCACTTTTATCCCCCTCTCAAATCCGTACGTGTGCAATTTCACAATAGGCTTATACACATTCATTCTACTGATTTTGTGTGACATTTGCCACTAATTCTTTATCAGAAATAATTCCTGGGTCATTTCGACCCTGCTTTCTCTCTGTTTCAGAGTTCAAGGGCCCTCCCTTATTTTTGTCTTTCAGCTGAAGCAGTTTCTTAGAGCACAGGATTTTGTGAGAACAGACTAAAAAGCAAGCTACAGACTTAAGGATGTACATTTCACCTCAGTCTAAAGGGATTTGTTACTCTGGAAAATTCCCACTCTGCCTCCGGAGCCCGCTCGGAGCGCTCTGGCCGGGCACAGCCAGCAGAGAGCAGCATTGGAGAACAAATGAGCAAAAATGAGCACAAATGTACCCAAATGTACCCAAATGTTCCCAAATGTGCCTCCCGCGCGCCCCCAGCCCGGCGGGATGCTCGAGACTCCCACCCCACTCCGCTCCACAAAATGGGAAATCAGTGACAGCAAAAAAGGCTGGAAAAGGCTGGAAAGGCAGGGAAATGCTGGGAAAGGCAGGGTATTTCTATTTCTATTTCTATTTCTATTTCTATTTCTATTTCTATTTCTATTTCTATTTCTATTTCTATTTCTATTTCTACTTGTATTTCTATTTCTATTTCTATTATTTCTTTTATTTCTATCATTTCTATTATTTCTATTTCTATTTTTTTTGTATTTGTATTTACAGTTGGCACCTTGTATCCCTCCCAGTTCTTCCCCAGAGGATGTTTTCATGTCAATTATTTTCCTCTGGAGGGTCCCTTTCAATATGAGGCTCCCCAAGGTAAAGACTGAGCTGAAGATTGTGTGGGAGCAGAGTGCGAGCTCATGACCCGAGCAGGAGCCCTTGCACCAGCCCTGAACCACATTTATGGGAAATCAGGCTGCTCTCGGGAGCTGAAATGGACCCAGACCCCCCAAAATGGCCCAAAACCGCAGCTGTGAGTGAGGCTGCAGGGGATGGTGAGAGGGGGGGGCAAGGAAGGAATGCAAGGGGGCTGATAAGGAAGGAATAATAAGAAAAACCTTTTTGGCCGGGCCAGGGCTGTTTACACACAGGCAAAAAACTTCCTGAGCTGGAAGTGCAGCCTTTCCCAGCCTTTTCCAGCCTTTCCCTGCCTTTTTTTCCAGCCTTTTCCAGCCTTTTTTTCCAGCCTTTTTTTCCAGCCTTTTCCGCTGGCTCAGCACCGGCCCCGCTCCCGGCATTTCCCCCAATCTGCCTTCGGAGGAACCTTTTGTTTTGCCAGAGCCCTTGAGTGTAACTTTATTGTCCCTGCCTGGCTGCAGGACATTCCCTGAGCTGTGAAAAGCAGCGCACCTGACGTTTGATTAGATCTGCAGCTCCTCGTGCTGTTTAGATAAACAATTACCAGGAGAAAATCACCGGCCCCAGCATATCAGCCTTTCCCTGGGAATGTAATTTGGTTTTCCTGCATCCAGCCGGGCTGCCTGAGGTCAGGCTGCCCCAAAACACGAGCAGAGCCTGGGGGTGTCCCCTGAGGGGTTCCTGCAGTGTTCGTGCCAGGGAAGCAGCTTGGGGAGGGTCAGGAATCCCAGAGGGAATCAGGAATCAGGAGAGATCCCATTCCCAAAGCTCCTGCCTTCAGTGCAGCTCCAGCATCTCCACAAGACAGGCCACCAAGGGCTTCCCTGTGTCCCTCTGCAAATTTTTGGGGCAGGAAATGTTGCTGGTTATTGCAGAGTGAGGGAGCCCTGACAGAATCCCAGCATCACTGAGGTTGGAAAATCCCCCTCGGATCATCAATCCCCAGCCCAGAGCATTGAGTGTCACATCCAGGTGCCACCTCCAGGGATGGGCACCCCAAACCCCCCTGGTGCCACCTCCAGTGCCACCTCCAGGGATGGAGACCCCAAACCTCCCTGGTGCCACATCCTGGGATGGGCACCCCAAACCCCCCTGGTGCCACCTCCAGGGGCCACCTCCAGGGATGGAGACCCCAAACCCCCCTGGTGCCACCTCCAGTGCCACCTCCAGGGATGGAGACCCCAAACCTCCCTGGTGCCACATCCTGGGATGGGCACCCCAAACCCCCCTGGTGCCACCTCCAGGGATGGAGACCCCAAACCCCCCTGGGCAGCCCCTGCCAAGGCCTGACCACCCTTTCCACGTTGAAATTCCTGCTGCTGTCCAGCCTGCCCCCGCCCTGGCGCAGCCTCCCTGCTGCCAGGTCAAACCCCAGCCCTGCACATCACTCTGGAGCCTCTTTTATTTTCTCAGGAATTAAATGGGCGTTTTAAACATCAAAAAAACCCCCAGAAAACAAATCAAACAAAGGAGGTGTAGCAGCCTGCTGCACGTCACTCATCCTGCAGACGTTTTTTGGGAGAGGAATGTGCTCAGAGCAAGCCAGAGCCTTTAGTCATGGGCTTTCTGCTGGGAAAGAAGCTCCGTGAGAGGCGTTGTCCTCCCACCCTGCTGGCAGCAGCCAGAGCCACACATCCCGCAGGGATCAGCACTGCTGCTGCTCCAAGGACACAGCGGAGAAACCGGCTCTTAGTACTTAATTATTTTTCTTTTTCAACCGGGATTATTTACAATGAGATCTGGGAGAAGCAATTCACACCAAAGCAAACAGCCTGGAATATTTTAATTGTGTTTAAGCGACTCTTGCACCCACAAAAAAAAAACAGCCCCGGGTGGTCGTGGATGCTGCTGTCATTGCTTTGAGCACTGTACCAGATAAAAAACCACTAAAAATCCCTTTCCTCAGGTGTTCAGCACTGAGAGAAGGTTGGCATGAATTCACTCGTGAGAGGGTAGATCAGCTCCAAGGGCCATTTTGGGGTGTGGAGGTCGCTGCTGGTGCTGGTGTTGAACACCACCCCTCCTGGGCTGGCACAATCAGGGCTTTGGCTCCCTAAAAGTGTGCTTGGGATGGGGAACAAACCTGCCCAGGGTCCCACTGAGGTGCCAGGAGCTCGGTGTGGGTCCAGCAGTGCTTCCTTTGGGAGTGGGATCAGCACAGAGCGGGGCCAGACCTGCTCCTGCTCCTGCTCCTGGTTTGGTATTTCCCACAGTGAGACCCTGTTGTGTCCATGTCCCAGCTTGGTGCAGACAGAGGAGCTCTGCCCTTTGCAGAGCTGGGTTTTGCCTCCCTCTCATCCCTCTGGGAGCCCTTTGGAACCTCTCCTGCCCCAATTCCTGCCCCAGGCACCCACAGAGCCTCCCCAGTGTTCTCCATCTCACCCAAGGGATGAATTGCTGGCTCTGCCTGTCACAGCCCCCAGCCCCCGGCTGGAGCAGGCTGGGGAAGGTTTTTCCCCTCTAAAAAACCTTTGGGACACAGTCCTGGTAGGGTTCAAAGAGAAAGAAGTTGACATTTCAGCCTTCAATTCCACGTGGAAAGTTTTGCACACAGCTTCAGCAGATTCTGCTGGGGTAGGAAACAGAGGAGCCCTAAAGACAGGAAGGGGTTAAATGCCTGAGGAAGAAGAGGAAGAAATCCTGCACTTAAACGTAAAGATGAGATTATAAACAACTCTGTTAACCAAAACTATCTGAAACCTGAGAGGCTTTTGTCGCTGCAATCCCAATTTAACTACTTTGGACAGCCTTAACATATTGCTACCAGAAACCTGGGCTGCCTGGAGCCAAACTCTGCCTCTGCCGGAGAGCTGGGGAGGCCAAAGGCCGCTGCCATTTGTCCTGGTGTTCTTCTGACAACAAAAGCAGAGAACAGCTGCACAAAACTGTCCTGTGTGGTCAGCGGGAGGAGGAGCAGGAGGAGAAGGAGCCGCTCTCTGGCAGCTCTGGCTCTCCGTGTGCTTTGGGCTGATTTTGGAGTCCTTCACAGGGACGATGATGAGGATGCAGAAGGTTTGCGGTGCGCAGAGCTCTCCTGCGAGCCCCGGGCTGCGGGCGCGGTCACATCTCGGTGTCGGCGGGGCGGTGCTGCCGGCCCGAGTGCCCGTTCTGCGAGGCCGCGGGGCCCGTGCCCTTCTCCGGGCTGCCCCCGTTCACGTTGGGCGGGTTCGGCTTCTCCTGCAGCTCCGCCGGCTCCTGAGAGGGCGACATCAGCAAGGTGTTCCCCTGGCTGCCGTTCTCCGTGTCATAGGGGTCTTCAGCCTGGGGACACAAGGGACACGGTGAGGCTGGGCTGGGGCTGGGGCTGCCCACGGTGCCCAGGCAGGAGGGACAGACAGACACAGGGCAGGGCAGGAGGGACAGACAGACACAGGGCAGGGCAGTACTAGTGACAAGGGGAGAAGAGGGCCCGAGACAACGTGGAGCAAGAAAACCACCCAGGAACTGCAGATTTTGGAACTGCAGTTTTTGGAGCTGTGGTTTTTCCTGCAGCGCCTGCAAGAGAAGCTTTTTGCCAGGTTTTGCTGTTTTTTCCTAACCAGGTTTGGGAGCCCCCCTTGCCTTGGGACAGAACCTCTGCTGGCCAAGGAAAGAAATCCCCATCGAATGGCAATTATGGAAGCATTCTCTTTTCCTTCCCTTCCCTTCCTTTGAAGGGCAGAGCTCGCTGCCAGGTGCGTGCAGCTCTGCAGGGCTGGGTGCTGCTGTTGCTGAGAGGAGCAGGTGCCTCTGGAGGAGCCAGGGCCTCAGGAGGATTCCCCAGATGTTGTGCAGCCCTGGATTTGGCAATTCCCAGCTGGAATCCCCCCAGCAGCACCCAGCACTCTCCTGGCTGGGCTCCACTCAGTCTCTTTCCCATGGGTGGGCCGGACACGCCTCACCTGGTGCTGGGCACTGCCAGGGGCTCCCATGGCACACAGTGGCACTGCTGCCAGCCCCAGGGACACCAGGCAGTGTCCCTGCCTCTGACACAGCATTTCCCAGCTCTGGGTAAATCCTTCCTGGCCAGGAGATGCCCCAATGACCTCCCAGGACACAGCTGCTCACACTGGGCAGGGATGGGGAAATTGTGGCCTGGGTTCACTTTACACAGGGTCACATCCCCAAAAATCACTGCAAGAGAGGAGGAGCTCTCAGGGCCAGCCTGCCTGGGGAGGGGAGAATGGAAATAGGAAATTTCTGCCTCTTTCTTTCTTGATATGTTTTATTACCATGGCTGCTGGGGAGAAGTTTCCTTTATTACAGCAAGGGTACAGACACGGGACTGACACAGGAATGGGAGTTAAGGGACATCACTGTTAATGACAGACTCGTGAGGGTTCAGGGGCTCTGGAGGGGTCTTGCAGGATGAGCTCTGGCTGCTGAGCACAAAGAAGAGTTAGACCTGTTAGA